GGGAGATCGGCAGCCGACACTCGAAAAATCGACAAGCCGCCGCTGAATGCGCGTGCGGCAGTGCTGAGCCGAGTCGTTCCCACGGTCTGAGGTACCCCCAGTTTGAAGATTCGGCTGTAGAATATGTAGTTTTAAATACGTAGTTTGACGTAAATCTCGGAAAAGTGAGATACGGCCAGAAATGAGTGTGGGTCCCTCCGTTCTGAAGATTCTGATCGACGCCGATTGAAATAATTCGCCGTGCATATCTCGGCTTATTGACGACCGATTGACACGGGATAAACACCGATCGATACCAAATGGCTCTGTGGGGGGTGGGGGGGGGGGAGTAGAGTGGCAAGTTTTCCTACCCTACGAACCCGGAATTATCCCGAGGGGGTAGGTGTGGGAGTAGAGTCGGGGGAACGGGGGGGCAAGTGCAAGTACCAAGTACTTTCGCAAGTACCAAGCAAGTACCAAGTACTTTTACAAGTACCAAGCAAGTACCAAGTACTTATGGAAATACCAAGCAAGTACCAAGTACTTTGGCAAATACCGAGTACTTATGCAAATACCAAGTACTTTTGCAAGTTCAGCAAGTTTTTCGCCAATATCGAAGCTTCTAGACGTCCGATCGTCACCGGAAAAACACCATTCAATCCCAAATTTTCTCCCGAATCTGTTTATGGCCAAAGCGACGCGGAGCGAGCCAAGATATCTTGTTTATTTAAATATCCATTTGAGTAGGATTTCGGGTTTTTTGAAACGCTCAGTTTTTGCAGCGAGCTTTTCCTGTTAGGGCTTGCGAGATACCCGCGGAAACACATATCTCTTCAGCATTGCGCGCCACACAGGAATGCGGCTGATTCACGTGCGATTGTGAGCGAGGTGCTTCCCTCCGGGAGAAATTCGCCGTCCCCATATGCTTAACACAGAGCCGAGCGGCGGCTGACAGGTGGCCGGCTCTCGGGAGATCGGCAGCCGACACTCGAAAAATCGACAACCCGCCGCTGAATGCGCGTGCGACAGTGCTGAGCCGAGTCGTTCCCACGGTCTGAGGTACCCCCAGTTTGAAGATTCGGCTGTAGAATATGTAGTTTTAAATACGTAGTTTGACGTATATCTCGGAAAAGTGAGATACGGCCAGAAATGAGTGTGGGTCCCTCCGTTCTGAAGATTCTGATCGACGCCGATTGAAATAATTCGCCGTGCATATCTCGGCTTATTGACGACCGATTGACACGGGATAAACACCGATCGATACCAAATGGCTCTGTGTGTGTGTGGGGGGGGGGGAGGGGGTAGAGTGGCAAGTTTTCCTACCCGACGAACCCGGAATTATCCCGAGGGGGTAGGTGTGGGAGTAGAGTCGGGGGAACGGGGGGGGGGGCGAGTGCAAGTACCAAGTACTTTCGCAAGTACCAAGCAAGTACCAAGTACTTTTACAAGTACCAAGCAAGTACCAAGTACTTATGCAAATACCAAGCAAGTACCAAGTACTTTGGCAAATACCGAGTACTTATGCAAATACCAAGCAAGTACCAAGTACTTTGGCAAGTACCGAGTACTTTGGCAAGTACCAAGCAAGTACCAAGTACTTTTGCAAGTTCAACAAGTTTTTCGTGAATATCTAAGCTTCTAGACGTCCGATTAACACGGGACGAACACCAATCGATCCCAAATTTTCTCCCTCATACTTTGATTGCCAAAGCGACGCGGAGCGAGCCAAGATATCTTGTTTAATTATCCATTTGAGTAGGATTTCGGGTTTTTTGAATTGCTCAGTTTTTGCAGCGAGCTTTTTCTCTTAGGGCTTGCGAGATATCTGCGTGCACACATATCTCTTCAGCATTGCGCGTGACATGGAATGCGGCTGAATTCACGTGCGATTGTGAGTGAGGTACCCCCAGTTGGAAGATTCGGCTGTAGAATATGTAGTTTTAAATACGTAGTTTGACGTAGATCTCGGAAAAGTGAGATACGGCCAGAAATGAGTGTGGGTACCTCCGTCCTGAAGATTCTGATCGGCGCCGATTGAAATAAGTCGCCGTGCATATCTCGGCTTATTGACGACCGATTGACACGGGACAAACACCGATCGATACCAAATGGCTCTGGGGGGGGGGGGGGGGGAGTAGAGTGGCAAGTTTTCCTTGACCCGACGAACCCGGAATTATCCCGAGGGGGTAGGGGTGGGAGTAGAGTCGGGGGAACGGGGGGGCGAGTGCAAGTACCAAGTACTTTCGCAAGTACCAAGCAAGTACCAAGTACTTTTACAAGTACCAAGCAAGTACCAAGTACTTATGCAAATACCAATTTGGCAAGTACCGAGTACTTTGGCAAGTACCAAGCAAGTACCAAGTACTTTTGCAAGTTTAACAAGTTTTTCGCCAATATCGAAGCTTCTAGACGTCCGATCGTCACCGGAAAAACACCATTCGATCCCAAATTTTCTCCTTAATCTTTTTATCGCCAAAGCGACGCGGAGCGAGCGCAAGATATCTTGTTTAGTTATTCATTTGAGTAGGATTGCGGCTTTTTTGAAACGCTCAGTTTTTGCAGCGAGCTTTTCCTGTTAGGGCTTGCGAGATATCTGCGTGCACACATATCTCTTCAACATTGCGCGCCTCACAGGAATGCGGCTGAATCACGTGCGATTGTGAGTGAGGTACCCCCAGTTGGAAGATTCGGCTGTAGAATATGTAGTTTTAAATACGTAGTTTGACGTACATCTCGGAAAAGTGAGATACGGCCAGAAATGAGCGTGGGTCCCTCCGTTCTGAAGATTCTGATCGACGCCGATTGAAATAATTCGCCGTGCATATCTCGGCTTATTGACGACCGATTGACACGGGATAAACACCGATCGATACCAAATGGCTGTGGGGGGGGGGGGGGGGGATAGAGTGGCAAGTTTTCCTGCCCGACGAACCCGGAATTATCCCGAGGGGGTAGGGATGGGAGTAGAGTCGGGGGAACGGGGGGGGGGGGGCGAGTACAAGTACCAAGCAAGTGCCAAGTACTTTTACAAGTACCAAGCAAGTACCAAGTACTTTGGCGAATACCGAGTACTTATGCAAATACCAAGCAAGTACCAAGTACTTTGGCAAGTACCGAGTACTTTGGCAAGTACCAAGCAAGTACCAAGTACTTTTGCAAGTTCAGCAAGTTTTTCGCCAATATCGAAGCTTCTAGACGCCCGATCGTCACCGGAAAAACACCATTCGATCCCAAATTTTCTCCCGAATCTTTTTATGGCCAAAGCGACGCAGAGCGAGCCAAGATATCTTGTCTAATTTTCATTTGAGGTTTTATTGCGCATCATTGTCTCACGTGTCTCACGTATATTGTTTCACTTGACTAAAGGACGGTTTCCAAAATCAAAATTAATCAAGGACGTGCTAAATACCGCATCAAAGCGACTTTGCACTAAGCGTTGCTCTTCCCCTGAGCTGCATCCAGTTGGTGTCCCACTGTGCCCTGTCGGCCGCTCGGCCCCACGACTGGGGAGCCTGGCGTCCCTCACTTACCGGGGTTACATGAGCGATCCGTTCCAAATACGCACTACGCTAATGCGCATCAGCTCCCCACAAACGTATCTACGGCACCGGTTACATAAGACTTATTCGTTTTATCTACGTCAAACGGATCTCGTTTGGCTCACCCGGGCTGACTCCTCGACGGCCGGTAATCCGCATCACAAACGGAATAGGATTAGCGTACAGTCATGGCGCAGTTGCGGCATTTACCGGGACGACTGAACTAAATTTTAAAAACTTATATCATTTGATAGGCTCAAAAACATTTAAAATTAACATGAAATCAAAAAATGAAGACAAAATTTTCTTGTTTTAAGTCACTGCGCACAGATTCGCCATGCAGCGACAGCAGGGTGGTCAGAAAAAATTATCTATCAAAATATTTCATTCATTTTGTTTTTGATCTTTATCAAATTCACCTTCAAAGACTAAACCGAAATACCAACATTTCTTTTTGCTATTTTCTACGAGGCAGCCAATAAAACAAATGCTTAGTATTTTGCATTTTGACGCTTCCATTCAGCAAAGAATAGTTCTTGTGAAATACGGCCCGAATCGTGTGCCTCGGTTACATGAGCGATCCGTTCCAAATACGCACTACGCTAATTCGCATCAGCTCCCCAAGAACGCATTCAGTGCACCGACTACATGAGCAAATTCGTATGTATCAGTGACGTCAAAAGGATCCAGTTTGGCTCTCGGCCTGACGAAAGGTAATGCGCATTACAAACGGAATAGCATACAAATGTGGCGCACTTCCGTAGCAATAGAGGTGACTGAATTAAAAACTTAATATCTTATGTCTTTTTTGCATTTAATCTGCTCAAAACATTCTCAATTAACTTAACAAAAAAAAAGTTAAACATAAAGTTGTCTTGCTTTGACTCATTGAGCACTTGCCTCTCTTGATTCGTCTGTAGTGCTGTCAGAAAAATGTTTCAACTGAAAGTACTTTGATATTCTCTTTCTGGTTTTCACTATATTTATTTTAGAAAACTTGACAAAATACCGACATATTTTTTTAATTATTATTTCAAAAGAAGCAAATGAAAAAATACCTATTATTTTGCATCTTAATGTTTCTTTTTGGAAAGAAATACATGTTCATGTAATACGTATCTAATAGTTCATGTAGTAGTTCATGTGAGTAGTTCATGTAATACGTATCTTGGTCCTATTCGCTTCTAAGCCTCTTTCCCAGCGGATTGTGTTCGGACCGCCGATTCGTATTAGCAGGTGGATACATGAGTCGGTAGTACGCTCCTGATTCGCATTAGCGGTGAATCCGATCGTGATGCGTATTTGCTTTGCTCATGTAACCGCGGATCGGATCGCCGATTCGTACTAGCAGGTGGCTACATGAGTCGGTAATGCGTTCCTAATTCGAATTAGCGGCTAAATACGTATTTACTGTGCTCATGTAACCCCGATAACTGCCCAGTCGGCTGTTGGGCCCCTGACTGAGCGTCCCTCGTTCCCCAGCTGGCCGCTCCGCCCGAAGACGAGCACGGCGAGGAGGACGACGACGACATGGGCGTGGTGGAAACATACGCCGACTACATGCCGGCAAAATGTGAGCGAACTCGAGCCGACTGGCAGCGCGCGGCCCCGGCGGCCGGTCACCGGGGACTCTTCTTTAAGCTCTCATTCGACTTCACTGAAAACTTCTTTACTCTTTCCTGGAGAGTTACTCCGCTGGGAGGGAGGACGAGGCACGCAGGCGTTCAACTCTTCTCATTTACCCCGCTTACATGAGTCAGCGAAAATTCCGTTTAAAACGAATATTTCCGTTTAGCGAAAAGTGCGCAAGTTTCGACTCATGTATACTGGTTTGGGCGCGCAAAGACGACGATAATTCGGAACGGATACTTCTGATGAAAATAATGGGAAACGTCCGTTTAGGACGTCAGGCCTAAACGGATTTTTTTTGCGCATCTAGCAAAAAATGACATCAATGTGCATGTTTTATTGATGATTTTTGTTTACACATTAAAATAACGTCATATTTATCTTGAATGGTAGGTCTAATGACAATGAGATCCACTTTTGGCGCCTGATTTCGCGCCATTGTGACAGATTCATAAAGTACCTACAAAGTGTTGGAGGAAGTCCTATGCTTCAAAAGGGAAGCATTCTAGTCCAAGATTACTTTACTACTCAGGCTGGTTCACGAGGGAAAAAAGGGCGCCGTAGTCACGTCACGGATTTGGTAGCAATCTGGTAGCAATTTTTGCAGACATCAATGGCGCACGTGTTGTTTGATCATCGCCAATCCTATTTTACTGCACTATTTTGGTATTTCACTGCCATGTATTGTAAATCACCTTTGAACAGGGCTGGGAAATCTCATTCTTTCATAGTTCATACCCCAGTAGGTAGCAGATATCGCTTTATTGTTCCATCAATTGTAGCAAAATCAACATTTCTCTCTTCCGTACATCATAAAGAAAAATACAATAAAAACATCAAAATTCGCACATTCTTAAAATGGAGGTACCACCAGCCAGTGATCTCGTCGGCGAATAAGAACAAAGCATCTGTAAGACTAACACAAGTTCAAAACGTCAGCTTTGTGCTCCATTTTATGACGAATCTGGCGGCTCTTTGTAGCAGTTTCCATTGTAGTAAATGTAGCATCACTACTTCTTCATACTCTGAGTCGTGAAACAAAAGGTATCTGCTACGCCTTTTTATGCGCTATCTTTCATATGAATATTGCAAAAAGGAGTTTCATTATTTGTGAAATATTCAAATGACATATTTACGAAACAAAACAAATTGTTTTTAAAAGGGCATTGTTCAATGATCAATAAAAATACGAAAAGAATCAACTCATTCTGCCCATGGCATCTCTAAAAAGCCATCTTTTATGATACAGTGTCCTGCAACGTCTTTAATCCTTTTTGATGACGTCATACACAATTTTTTTCAGTTTTTAATGTATTTTATTGTTAAAATCATACTCATTTGAACCAAATTAGAGTTTAAAAGAATTATTGAATATTTTTTGTACGTTTTATTAAGAAATCTTGTCAAAAATATGCAAATTACGTCATTGCTGTTTGTGTATTTTGTTGATGCATTGTTTCTGGCGCATTAGAGACAATTCTAGTTGTCGTTTCGCGTGGATAGTTCAGTTGAGTTTGATGAGTGTTTCTGGGTGTTTTTGAATTATTTCAGCTATTTTAGCTATTATTTTGCCTCTATTTTAGGAAAGTGGGATATTCCAGGCCTAATTTCAAGTGTTGCAATGACAACTGTCCCTAAAGCGGCGTGCAGTACACAGTTAAAGAGGAAGGAAGCCGCCCAGCACGCAAAGCAAGATGTTAGTGAGATACCTATGATCGAATTTGCGCAGAAGGTGAGATCTGATTGAAATATTGATCAAGTAAAGCCCAGAAAAGAATTTTTTATTTACTTTTTTACATGTTCAATTATTGTATTAACTCTAAACCTTGATTGGTGGCAACTGGCAACTTTTGTACAGCGGGTTCGGCTGCACAATGATTGTAAATTGTTGACCAGACTGAGCAGCCAAATCAACCTGATTTCTTTCAAATACTTTCTGCCTGAGTAGGCTGATACCATCTGAATCCTGAAGTTGCTGGAATGTTGATAGGAAAATTCTAGGGCTCACTGGAGCTCTCTGGTGCTCTCAGGTGGTGCTGGAACTTGCCCTGAGAAAGCCCTACAGCACCTTATTTTGATATTTGTATGCTTTTTTCTAAACCTGAGTAGTGAGTACCTACAAAGAGTAAAAAATAAGAAAAAGAACATTCACAGGGGGCATAAGCAAAACACTGTATCTGTTTTTGTTTGTGCAACCAACTAAATAAAAACATTCAAAGCTCAATTTGAGAATAGATAGAAAATGAAAGTGGAAAGCTCTGCCCAGAATTTTGATTACTTGTAAAATCATTTTCTCTAGCAGAAATGCAAATGATGTGAGGAACATTTGTGGCAATGTAGCTAATAAAGAGTTTCTCGTAATATCTGGTATGTAGCAGATTCAGCATTTTCCCAGCCCTGCCTTTGAAAATTAAAACAAAGAAATATTCGTAACCCAGTAAGTCAGTTATTCTTTGAGGCAGCTTTCTGTAATTTATGGAGCCTTCATGAACAAGGCCCTCTAACCAGGTCATGAAAATGTATGTAGGTATGAATAATTAGAACTTTATTTTCTAAGTTTGATAGAAATACAATTTCCCCTTACAATATCAAAAGGCTACCTGCCTATTTCAGCCAACCAATGAAATATTTGTCCAGAAGGAGGTAGGTGCTTCTGAGCAGACTTGTGCCTCGACCAAAAATCAAGATCCAAGATCCGCAAGATCCCACAGTATTTCATAATTTCAGGATCCAAGATCCCCAAAATCTCACACAAAATCAAATTGCAAGATCCAAGATCCCCAGGATCCCACACAAAATCAAAATTTCAGGGTTTAAGATCCACAAGATCCCGCGCAAGATCAAACTTCCAGGATCCAAGATCCCGAAGATCCCAAGCAATATCAAAATTGTAGGATCCAAGATCCCCAAGATCCAATGCACAATCATAATTTTAGGATGATTTATCTGTTATTTGCAACTGCAAACGACTGCAACTGACTCAGTTCTAGCCCTGGAGAAGCACTAAATAGACATGTACATTGTACATGCTAGTGATGTAAATTTCAGAAATTTTTGATGCACATGTTTGTGATGTAAATTTAAGAAAATTTTGAAACCAATGCCAAAGTGATACCGACCAAATTTTGTATCTATCATTGATATATCACAAGCTCTGCTAGCGCCAGCATACGACGCTAACTGGCAAATACCTAATCCAGTTAATAGTACCTACGGCCCACAAAGTCTAAGTTGTGTTTATGCTGGCATATACTTTGAAACCTTGAGCACCTTAGTTAGTAGAGTATGTTTTCCTTCCATTATAAAGTGAGTTTAACAGTTGTACATGCTAATGTTTTGCACATTGGTTTTCCTGGCTAGATATTCATCCTCACGAGATTTGAATTTGCCAGCAATACATAGATAGGTTTGGTAGGCATTTAATCATGGTAGACTGATGTGTAAAATATTCCTGTTAAAAACTAGGATCCAAGATCCCCAGGATCACTCGACAAATCCGAAACCCAGATCCAAGATCTCCAAGGTCCCTCGACAAAATCAAAAGCCAGGATCCAAGATCCCCAGGATCCCTCGACAAAATGATGACCAGAGTCCTGGATCCCCAGGATCCCTCGGCAAAATCTGAAGTGTTGTATCCAAGATCCCTCAAGATCCCGGATCTTGGATCTTGCAGATCCTGGATCTCGGATCTTTTTGGGATCTTGGCACAAGTCTGCTTCTGATTAGGTACTGACATCTCTTATCTACACCAATATTTCAGGATAATGACAGAGAAGCTGTTTAAAAATTCTGCATATGAAAGGGTTGTTATGCACATTGCAAAACATATCAGATAATGCTTCCGAGCCATCTCATTCACCAACACACATCAATCCGGCTCCTAGCTTCTGTTAAGGAAACATTCCAAAATAATGCATCATTTTATTTCATCGAGCACCTTGCAAAAGACAAATAGCAAACACACCACCACCAAAAACAGAAAAATGGTCAACAGGTAGGTACCTACCTGCTGATCTAGTCGTGTTGTGTCATGCGCCTTTGAAAAACTTTAGCAGTCATAGTTGAATAAGCGCCCCAAACTTAGCCATTCATGCATGAAACGTGTGCAAATTCTGGTTGAGCATGTTCATAAAACTGAAACTAACAGCTGGTATTAGGTATATAATTATAAAAGAACAAAAACCACAACAGAGCTTACTCTACAAGGTATAACCATGAATTTTAAAACTAAGGCACCAGATATTGCGCTGCTGATACATGCAGCGGCGCAGCTTATTTTACCGCAATATTCAAGGTACTAAATATTTGGACATGTTTTGCAGGATGATAACTACCGTCAAGATAATGTTGGAATAATATTTATTAGATCTATTATTGAAACAATACATAATATATCTAAATGAAAATACAATCAAACTGCGATTCTTCTACAGTGGAATTCAATGCACTCAAGCATAAAACTGAAAAGTGGTGTGTACTTGCACTTCCTCCATTTTTCCTAACGCATCAGCCAAGACTATGAGTGCTACAGATTTTGCTCACCTGTATTGTTTATTCAACTACTACGCTGTTCTCAATAAATGAATAACTTTGCTGTAACGACATAAGCATTGTAGGAATGGTTGGTGGTAAGCAAGGGACAATCACAGTGATTTGTGGTCACACATTTGAACCGTGCTTTGTATGTGAAAAACAGAAAAAAGCATTCTAGAAATGTAGCAGAAATTTAAATGCCAGAAACGGACCTGAGGAACGGCGAAGCCTACCACCCACATAAAACACAGGCTTTCATTATGTCAAAAACAGATGCTGTATTATCTAAAGCGCTGGATTGGGGAACACAAGTGTACCCCCCCCCCAAAAGAAACTAACAAAATGCATTTTTCCACACAGTGGATATCACTAAACATGGCGAGGTGACAGTATATGACACCATACGCGCGA